TGCTCACTGAGTGCTATATGCACGATGGACATATTTTATATTGGTAAGTTGAAACGTAATTCCTTCTCGGTGCAGGTTACTTTGAATACTTACTCCAGTCTCCATAAATCTGTTATTATTGCAACTTATATTATAAACTAAAAGAGTTAAATTAAGTTTACAGTTTAGACTAAGTAGCAATCACCTTATCACCTAGTCATGAGTCTACGCGCACTGCGTGACGCGCTTCTTTTGGCGGTCGCGCGCGCTACTGCAAGCGAGAGGGATCTGGATAGAGCAATAAATAGTATAGCGCGCGTACAATCAAACCCGTCGAGTCAATATAATATGATAACTTTATAATATTATAACTGCGGCTGTGGATTAGATAGTGGCAAATACTCAGGCATCGAGGAATTTAAAACTTAGTCAAAATATGTTAATAACCGATAAAAAGATTCTTGTTGAAAAAATATTCAAATTAATTTTAAATTAAATTAAAATTGGTCGCTCTCAAGCCTACGCGTTGTTACCGGTTACGTCGAGCGCAAATTTCATTACCGACTAGAAGTTCGAATCGAATTATGCATACCTAGATTCCATGAGTATTGTTTTATGGTTTGCGGATGCGCGCTACCAAAAACGCGCGACTTATATCTTCATTCTTCCGGTTTCCCTCGATCGGCCTCAATATTACTAGAAGTAGAATATGATTATATTTTACTCATATCGTACCATGGCTATGAAAAAGCAGTCACAAGTCAGATAGAAAATAGTCATGTAAAAATAAAATTATTGTAGCGCGATGCGTTACTGGGCCGCGCACTCAATTATGCTTCTCGCTAGATTGGCAGAATGCGCCACTGGTATGGGCCTCGCCGAGCTGCGATCTGAATTGACACCGTCAATCAAGTAAAATTATATTATAGTCATGCAAAATTTCAGCGATACGCTAAGATATCGAGTTAAGCTTAATAAACAGTTAAGCTTAATAAACAATTGACAATTTATGAATCCTCCCAAGCTACCAGCTATATTGTTTATTGGAAACTTTCTTCAAACAAATCTTAAATTAGATATCACGTGACTAACCCTTATTTACCGCAGGACTGTACTTTGTATCCAATATCCATTTTGCCGTTACATGATATTGAATCATTCGCTAACTAAACGTGTAAAGAAATAAATTACCAGCTTCCTAATATGGTAATGTCATAATCAAATACTGGTACTGGGCAGTGGGCGATGCTCAGCCTGTCATTTCGACTAATCTATTTACCTGGGTTATGGGTATCTTTGTAGGTTTATAACATACCAGGACGCGAGCCGAGTTGGAACAAATATTTTACGGGTATCTCAGGGCTATTATGATAAATCATTAGAATCTCAGCTCCGAATGAAGATGTAGCTAAATGACAGACTGAGCGTCGTCTAATAAATTATCTCAAGTCATGTTACGTTTATGAACATAATATGATTAATGATATCCTGAGGCCCGGGAAATGTCGGCTTACTAAATACTGAATCATTGCGGGCGAATTGAATTATTAATTGTCACTGTCAAGACACTGTACAGTTCATCATCATGTCCAGGTGATAAGCCCGTAAGGAAAAGAAGAAAGACATTATTTAAAAGACTGAAGGCATATCTCATCAAATGCAATGCGAGCCTAAGGTGTTCTTTTTCAGCATTCTAGAATTACTATTAGCAGAAACGCGCGAATATATATATATATTTATATACATATATATGGACACGTTCATTGAAGTTTGAGGATATTGGTAAATTTCTAAAATAGCGTTTTCGACGATAGTGGCTTAATTTGAGCATCTATTAATCTAGCGTGTTCATAAGTGCTGAACATTAGCCACGTGACCCATACTCCCATGTGCACTGCTCAGAAATAAAATTAATTGCTTTTAGGCACTATAATGTAAAAAATGTCACATTTTTGTGACATTGTTTACCATAGCTGCCCAATTAGCATTTTTTGGTCTAAAATATAGTAGATTAGGTCAATCTAACAATTATGATACAACGTAGGCCTAAAGGGCAGTAATCGAACGGCTTTAAGGCAATATTTCGTAAACTTTGTCACACTCAGAATACGAGACCTCTTTTCTTCTGTGAGGTTTCCTCAAAACCCTTTCAACTCATTATTTGATGGTTCTTCTGCCAATCATAGCCCTAAAATATGTTGTTTTGAAAAGTTAGCAAATACATGCACTTGGTTATTGGGAAATGATGTAAATTCTGTCACATTATATGGAATTTGAAATTCTGGGTGGATTTCCGAAATCATTTAAATATCTGATTTTGGTTTGGAAGGCGGGAAAACTCTATATAATGACGATACACGGATACAGTTGATTCAAGTATAGGGCAGTTGATGTAAACATCGTCACAAAATGATACGACATCATAAATAAGTTAAATTTTGCGGGAAAACTCTATATAAGGACGATACACGGATACAGTTGATTCAAGTATAGGGCAGTTGATGTAAACATCTTCACAAAATGATACGACATCGTAAATAGGTTAAATTTTGCGGGAAAACTCTATATAAGGACGATACACGGATACAGTTGATTCAAGTATAGGGCAGTTGATGTAAACATCGTCACAAAATGATACGACATCGTAAATAGGTTAAATTTGGAAACAATGATTATAGTATGAAATAGTCTGTGATTAACATATTACGTACATTATAAAATGGGCAGGGGTTTTTATATTTCCTGTATCTCTGTATTACTTATTTCAGACTGTAATTAGGACTGTTCACGTGAAAGAAATTGTATCTTAATTTTACAATGACGTATGTGATGAAATTTACATTTCTTGACCCTATTTTGAAGAACCATACCTCTGTTAGAATTCAATGTTCTTCCAGGAATTATTGGTTGGTTATTGTTCAGCAAATTAGAACTCAAGTTTAACAATGCTGAGTTTAATTTTACTAAGTTACTGAAATGTGACAAAATTCACTTTTCCTGCCCCAACAGTATAATTTCAATGTGACTAAAAATTGGCATGGGTTTCTACATTTCTTGTATAAATCCATTCCAACTATAATAAGGACTATTGATATGAAAGAAATCTATCTAAATTATAAAATGACGTATGTGACGAAATTTACATTTCTTGCCCCTATTTTGAAGAACCATACCTCGGTTAAAATTCAATTTTCTTTCAGAGATTATTGGTTGGTTATTGTTCAGCAAATTAGAACTCAAGTTTAACAATGCTGAGTTTAATTTTACTAAGTTACTGAAATGTGACGAAATTCACTTTTCCTGCCCCAACAGTATAATTTCAATGTGATGAAAAATTGGCATGGGTTTCTACATTTCTTGTATAAATCTATTCCGACTATAATAAGGACTATTGACATGAAAGAAAATCTATCTAAATTTTAAAATGACGTATGTGACGAAATTTACATTTCTTGCCCCTATTTTTAAGAACCATATCTCAGTTAAAATTCAATTTTCTTCCAGGAATTATTGGTTGGTTATTGTTCAGCAAATTAGAACTCAAGTTTAACAATGCTGAGTTTAATTTTACTAAGTTACTGAAATGTGACGAAATTTACTTTTCCTGCCACAACAGTATAATTTCAATGTGATGAAAAATTGGCATGGGTTTCTCTATTCCCTGTATAAATCCATTCTAACTATAATAAGGACTGTTGATATGAAAGAAAATCTATCTAAATAATGCAATGGCTGATGTGACGAAATTTACATTTCTTTCCCCCTATTTTGAAGAATCATACCTCGATTAGGATATAATGTTACTTTATCACCATACCTATGTCGATAAACTAGTTATTTTACCAACAAATAGCAAATAAAGTTATAATATTTTTTTGTGACGAAATTTACAAATGTTTACCCTGTTCAGGTGTTGAAATTTATCCAATGTTAACATATCACTGCCATATAATAATTTATATGACCGGCGTATGGTTGAAATATTGTTAATTGATCCATAGTACGTAATATAGGGTGTTTAAGTTGGTATACTAATATTTACTCAATTTCACACATGTTGAGATATCATACAAATTTATGTGACTAAATTTACCTATTTCTGCCTTCTGTGTTTGTATTTGCCTATAACAATGAAATATGTGAACAATTCCAAACACATTCAGCTCACAAAATAATGCTAGACTATTCGGCATTTCTTGTCAGAATGTCATAAACATCCCTCATATAAATTTCTTAAATGTGTGACGGAGTTTACATGGTGCTACCATTTAAGGAAAAAAGTCGGTAAATATGTAGATAATAGTCATATACAACTATTCTATGAATTGGAAATTCGAAAATTTGGTCAAACACGGCAACAAGGGGTCCATATAAACTCCGTCACGTTTTTATAGTGTGACAAAGTTTACAACTCACTGCCAGCCGCATTTAAGCGATATCTTATCGTCTGATAAAGATATCGTTATGCGACAAAGTTTATCTAGAGGATGAAACGATTATCTTAGGGTTAGAGGGTTTATATAGTTTCATAGTGTGACACATTTTACATCATCGTGCCATTCAGTAGGGTCACCAATATTTACCAATATCCTCAAACTTCAATGAACGTGTCCATATATATATATAACCACTGCCAGTCAATTTCTTGAACCAGACGCTGCAATATTGCCGGCTGTTCGGGAGGCTGACAACGCAGGGTGCCATGCCTGTGGAAAATGCTATGTTTGTAAGCAAAGTTTCCTGTCCCCTTGTTCCAAATTTAGTAGTCACCATTCCAAACAAGTTTTCCCTATTACTAAATATATAACTTGTCAGAGTAATAACATTATTTATTTAATGGAGTGTAGAACTTGTAAACAGTCGTATGTAGGAAAGCAAGAGTCACATTAACGTTGGGGCCGTCTAAAAAACGCTTGGGCCGTCTAAAACAACATATATTAGTTTTCTTTGTAATTCGTAATTCAAACTTAAATTACTAGAACAAGCATGTTCTACTCCTTGTTAAGGTTTGAAAATAAAACAATGAGGTGTAAAATTTTCGAATTTTATGGGAAAGATCAGAATTTTTCATTTATTTACAGAGAGAATGTTTGATTACGTAACATACAACATATTTGATATCAATTAATGTGTAATGTGACAGACTTGCAGAAAATAAATACCCCAAACCATACTACAAATCTCTCAGCGACTTGCGCAAAAACTATTATATTTATACTAAAGTTATTTCTTAACCACGACTATTTACCACTAAAAGTAAAATACAATTTTCTACGATGAACAAGAATGATAAACCGTACCAATGTTCATAAAATTTATCATTTGGTCACTTATAGTTATCCCTTCTTTATCGTAAAAGATCAAAGACGATGTCGAGATCTATGAAGAATTAACTGTTTTTACTTTTAGCCTTTCTTGAAAATTCGTCATTCGTGAACAAAAATTTTGCTTAAGCATTCTCCGAATCGTCTTTTTCAAAGTTGCACTCGCAAGCAAATGGTCTTGGGATAAATCCGTAACTGTCATCCCAATAACCCGAAAAGAGATGGAAAGCGATTTCATCTTGACCTGAAATAGTTTTGATATTATAATTCAAGAAAACTTGTGATTGTAACTAGGTTGCTAGGTAACTAAGATAATATTAATAATATTAATCATAGTATTAGTAACCAACCTCTGGGATCCATGCCTTTCCAGTTGTCAGGGTTCATTGGCCACCACTTTGGAGCAATTAGAGGCCTTCCTTCCACGTCAGTGAATTCATTTTCCTCTAGCCTAGCAACAAAAGAGAATTGATGATTAATAGTTACGAAAATTAGAAGAGTAAGACGGGTCACGGGAATTTGTAGCTAGGGTGGCAAGTAAGAGAGGAGCGTATTAAAATTAGAATATTATCAGATTATATTACAAAGCAAAAATTTAAATTAAACCTAAAATTTTGGTAATCTTTTTTACTCTTTTTTACTTTTTTTAATAAACCTAAAATTTAGTAAAATAAGGACTGAATATTCAGTAAAATTAGGATTAGTAGTAAATTCTTGACATACGTTGCATGCCACTTTTCGCGCGCGAAGCGCGCGCCGCCGAAGGCGGAAAATTATTATATTTATATATATTATCTCTGATATTGGGATACGAAACATGTATCAAGTGAATTCTGTTAAAATAGGACTGCACACCTGTCGTTAGCCGCCACCCAGATCCAGGGGGTGTCTCGGAACTTTTTGCCATTAGGGTTCAGGTGGTACGATCTCCAAGCGTCCTGTCAAATGGTATTGGTAAGAAACGGTCTTGTTTCAGTTTTATTTGTAGTTTATTTTGCAGAATGTTTAAGTATTTACATTAACATTTGAACTTTTAAGATTGAATGTCGATATGAACACTTAATTAATATATGACTATGTGAACGACTGCTTATACTTATTATACTTATAGTTATTTATATTGCTAACATCTAATTTCGTGCATTTAATCTTGTATTATAACGTGGATGTAAAAGTCTAACCTGAATGAATGTCCTGCTGTCTGACTTGGAGCGTGGAACTGCGAAATCCAAACCGTACGAATTGCAGAACTGGTAGGCAGAATCAAAGTCTTTAGCGTCCCAAACCATGCCGTACTTTTGAAGCCCTTTTTCTGCGAAAGACAAAAGTATCTTTTAGAAGCAGATTGAAAACTCAACAAAACAGCAACAAAAGTTTTCAATTAGCAAGGGGTACTGACTACTGAGTGTAAATTATTAATTTCTATTTGTATATATATGATAATAAGTTAATACCTTATCGGAATTTATTTGAACGGATATTAATTGGCGTTCATTTTAATGTCTGTTCGAATACAGACAAGGTTGTTAAAATTAAATCATATTCATTAAATGGATGCCTTCGAGCGTTCATTTTAATGTCCGTTCAAAATTATGTCCGTTGACCGTTCACGTAATGTCCGGTCAAACAACGTCCGATAAGGTAATTTCTAATCATATATTTATAAACTTATTGACCACGATATTAAATAGCACTGACCGACACAGGGTGCCAGTTTTGCGTGAATGTCCACCTCCCCAACTTTAGTAAGTCCAGTACACTCGTTTTCTACCACACAAGTGTATTCGTCAATGTCTTTCTTTCTGATGCCGTTGAAGGTCAGAGGCGAAGATTTCTTCTTTCGGGTACCATTCATCATGAGGCCTGGTTAAAAGGAAATCTGTATTAGTTTTGGAACTCATTTTATTCCGAGTTATGAGTTTTAACAATACTTAAACACCGGTAATTTTAATATTTATTGCTGGATGGTTTACATGCCGCAGCCTCAATTATACTTGACATTAGAAAATAATGTAACGTTTGACAACTTCAGTAAACAGGACACATTCAGTTACTAGGACAACTTCAGTAACCAGGACAACTTCAGTAAACAGGACAACTACAGTAACCAGGACACATTCAGTAAACAGGACACATTCAGTAACCAGGACAACTGCAGTAACCAGGACAACTTCAGTAACCAGGACAACTTCAGTTACCACTAACCGTCTAATCCCTTAGTCCAGTAGACCAGGTCCCCACTGTCCCCCTCACACTCTATAATAACGTCCTCCCCCAGAGAGATATCGTATCTGCTGTGAGGCTTCTTTATAAACTCAGGAATGTTGCACTCGGGGTCCTGGGGAATGTCGCTGGAGTCCACACATTCCTCGTTATTCCAGTAGAACCCGCCCGGGCACGTGCATTTGTAGGAACCTGGTGTGTTCACACACTTTGATTCTTCACCTGGTGTGTGAAACAAGGAGTAGTTTTAGTTAATTTATAAGTATAACAAAGGAGCTGTACCTGCACGTGATCCAGCATTTTATTCAAGCTAGAGCTAACATGTTTCTTTAAGCTTTTAAGATGGGATATACTATAATTTGAAAATTCAATTAATTATTATATATAAATCAAGTGTTACATTTCGGCCATGCAAAATTACAATGACATATTTTGATATATTAATTAATAAATGGTACTGCAATATAAGTTGCATTAATGTGTGGCCGAATGACAACTAACTTAACAAGAAAAATAAACTTGATTATATAATAGTTAATTCGGCTGAACCAACACATAGCAAAAGCCACATTAACGTTGGGGCCGTAAAAACATTACATAAAAATGTTACCTTTGCAGACATATTGGTCGCGTTTGCACTCATTGATGTCAATACAAGTGTTATTAATCCCTACGAAGCCTGATTTACACAAGCAAGATGTTTCTCCTTCTCTGAAATAATGTGCGTTAGATTTGTGAAATTAGGTGCTTGAAATAATATATGTTAACATATTATGTGAAAAAAGTAGATGTTTTGCTGGCATCTATAGTTCATGTCCAAAATTAAATAATGGACATGAATTGTAGATGCCAATAGATAATAATATTAGTAATATTAGTAATATCAGTAATATCATTACGAACTGCTAATGCTATATCGCACAGTATCTAAGTATCAGTCATGATTCATTAATGATCTCATATAAGGTACGTGTCAAATCTCATATAAGGTACGTGTCTCCCACCAATTTAGTGTTAATTATAATACTGAAAACTTGATATCATTATAACATGACAGTGCGGTCAATATTATCGAGATATCATTTTACTGGCAGCAGCACCAGGTATTAAACCGCCAAACCGGTTAGATAGAAAAACCGGTATACTAGAACAACTGGTTTATTGTGGAAATAAGCCTGATATAATACCCAGAAAAAAACTTATTTATTCCGTATATCAATCTATTTTCCACGAATTGGCGAATGTCTCGTATTATCTCATTATGATTCGTAAAATTTTTATTAACTTACCTTACGAGACATATTTAAAACGATTCTTGATCACATTTTAGCATGAAAATATTTAGTTACTAAGACATTTTCAAACCTTTTATGTGGGGTTGTTTTACCCCAGTGTATTATATTCCTAGTAGTTCTAGAGCCCTTTGGTGCAAGAGATATGTCTTCTCAACATGATATGTATATTATATAATTGATTTATACAGCTCGTCCTTGTAGAAGTGGCTGGCGAGTACGTGTTTCTTGTTCAGGAGATCACGGAAGTACGTGTCTTTTGTTCAGGAGATTCCGGAAGCGGGGAGATATCCATTCTTCCGATCAAATTATTCCTTCAACGTTTGTTTGGATAAGTCTTGTTTTGTCTTTGTATTACAAAATTTCTTAAAATTTCTAGTGAAAATGGAGGAACTGAAGCCAACAAAAGAGGAGTTAGTCGAGTTCAACAGCCGGCTGGAGAAAGTCAGGGAGAGAATGTCTGAGGAGAAGGTGGATCTGATGATCTTATCTAACATGGAACATATCTTCTACCTCTCCAATTACCAGACAGTCGGGGGATGCGTGCAGGTACTTTCACTTTCACTTTCACTTTCAAGTTTCACTTTCACTTTCACTTTCACTTTCACTTTAATGGTATTCTAATGGTACTTTAATGGTACTTTAATAGCACTTAATCTAAACTTTTCTAAATAGGTGCTGCTGGTGACACAGGACGACATCCACATCGTCACAAGGGAACTGGAGGCTACGAACGCTGAGATGCGATCTCACGTGGCTTACTCGTTCTACGACGAGTCCCAGGACCCTATAGACATTATTGCCAGTACAGTTAAAGGCAGGTACGGTAGTGACACTGCTACTATAATCGGACTTGAGTTCAACACAACTAGACTCGCTTACAACCAGGTCAACCAACTCCAGAAAGAACTGCTGAAGATCTTCCCGCGCGCCACTTTCTCCGACATCTCCCTCCAGGTATCCAGACTGAGACTAGTAAAATCCCCACTAGAGATCTCCAATGTAAAGCGAGCAGCGGGAATAGTGCACGCGGGTCTCCAGGCCGGTATTGGGACGGTGTGTGCAGGTATGATGGAGACGGAAGTGGGAGGGAAGGTGTTGGAGAAGATGTGTAGAGAGGGGTGTGAGTACACGGCGTACCCTGTCTTCTTGTGCAGCGGGGAGACTGGCTGTATGGGCCATTACACTCCCACTCAGATGCTGGTGCAGGAACATGACATTGTGTTCTTTGAGATAGGAGGTTGCTTTAAGAGGTACCATGCAGCCAGAATGTACAGTGTTTATGTGGGAGATGAAGTTCCGGAGTGGTTCACTGCAGCTGAGAAGCTGATCAGGAAGGCAGTGAGTGTGGGGCGGCAGATGATGAAACCAGGGGTAGCAGCTAAAGAAGTAGATGCAGCTATGAGAGACATTATATCTCACTACCCCTACCCTCACAAGCAGTCGGAGCGAGCGGGCTACTCTATAGGGATAGGGTTCTACACTGACTGGAGCAACTCTCAGTTCTTCATCCACCCTACTTCAGAGGAACTGTTCCAGGAAAACATGACTATTCATCTCATACCCTGGATACAGTTACCAGGAAAAGGAGCAGTCGGGTTCTCTGATACTGTATTAGTGACCAGTCAGGGGGGTGAGTCACTCTTTGAGGGGCACTTCTACAAGAGGGGGGACAAGTGGGTTTAGTGTACCCGCCACGAGTATTTGAGTATCGTTTGAAACTTAATTTCAGTTTTATGTGGGCACACAGGAATGGTGTATATTATAGATATTTTTACGAACCAAAAATGTTTTGTTTCTCTGTGAAATCTTCTTTATTCTCTAGACTCATAATTACAACTTTATAAGATAAACTAACTCCCCCCACTAACTTGTTAAATTTAATATAGCAGTCGCCCCCCCCCCACTAACTTGTTAATGTAGCAGTCCCCCCTCCCACTAACTTGTTAATATAGCAGCCCCCCCACTAACTTGTTAATATAGCAGCCCCCCCCCCCTACTAACTTGTTAATGTAGCAGTCTCCCCCCACTCCGCAGTCTACATCTGTACAGAGTCCCATCTGTTCCACTTCCTCTTCTGTACATTTGGGAATCTCGCAGTACTCGAACCTGTTTAGAAATACCATTACAGTTTTGAATCCGAACAGCTAGTTCGAGTGAAGGGTTTATGGGATAATGGGACACACCATTTTCAGATGTCTCTAATTTGAAGTGAACGTTGGTCACATATCCCAGCAAAATATTCATCGTTTCAAAAATGTCCTTGTAACGGGGAAAAAACTCTGTTGAGTGATGAATTATAAAATGTTAACTACTATAAAGTAACTACTATAAAGTACATGTTAACAACTAAAAAGTAGGATTAGCTACCGTTTCTGAGGGTCCATAGTGTAGCACCAGAGTTTGCCGTTACCGTCAGGGTCCCTACAGAAGTTGTGCTCTCCGAGACCTGCATCCGGATACCTGACAACATGATAATAAATTTGTATAATTTGTAAAGTTCGTAGATTCCTCTACAGGGTCATCGAATATTTCGACCGCCCTTATTTTACAGTACACTATACTACATTGTAGATGTTCTGAAGGAGTATCCTAAGATTCTTGATCTTTTTGGCACAGGCCCCCCTCCTCATTTAACCCTCAATCAAGTTTCCTATCATTCGGCTGAGTCGACCGAGGAGATCGCATAGATCCGATGAATCCTTAGCTACTCCCTAGACTGAGTGACACTGGGATTCGAACCCTGAACCTTCTGTACAGAAGGCGGAAGCTCTAACCACTAGGCCACCATTATAATTAATTAGTTAATTAGTTAATTAGTTAATTAGTTGATTAGTTAATTAGTTAATTATTTAATTAGTTAATTAGTTCAATTCAATAGCTCCATTTTATTACTTCGTGACTTTATGGATGAATCAAGGTTTAAGTTTTAACTAAAAACATTTTTTGTTACATTTTTAAATAGTGCGACCCCTCATAAGAATATAATGGCCCGGTGTTACCATGACAACAATTACAAAGTTACAACTACACTGGGCACCACGACGAACATTCAGTACCAACCCCAGCATATGCGGTGAATTTCAAATGTGGACCCTTACCTTTCAGCTATAAATAGCAATATCTTGCTACTTATTACTATCTTACTACTTCGTTACCATGACAACTACTTGGTGACTAACCTTTCAGGCATCTTAGTGTGGAAGTGTGGTGTGGTCTCACTCCATCTCTGACAGGTTCTACCACTTGCTGTTACGTTAGTCTGACCTGCAGTCAAGATTAACATAAATAAAAAGGACCATAGAAAAATCAGTCACAACTGAGATCAGCATCACAATTTGTAAATCAATAAACACCGAAACACCAAATGTCCAGTCATAGCCTTTACATCGGGCCCTGATTGCAGCTATAAACATGAGAATTAACGTTTAATGAGACACCCAATACAACGGTTCGAACACTAAACATCTCTAAGTTATTAATTCTATTACAAATATGAGTAACTCTGAAAAGTAACCAAAGTAAGTAGGTAATTAATTTAGTTCCTAATATAAGTTACTCTGAAAAGTAACCAAAGTAAGTAGGCAATTAATTTAATTACCAATATAAGTAACTCTGTCGTCTCCATCTTTAACATACTGGCAGTCAATGTTCTTAGCGTCCCCTATAAGTCTGATAATGTTTGAAGCTTTACTTGCCATTACCATGGGGCGTTCTTCAGTAAACCCTGTAGATGAACAGTATGATAACAGAGCTGTGAAGAAGAGCTGTGGAGAGAAAACACAACATTTCAAAATTTGCGCGCGGCGTTGAACGAAGTCGCAAATTAAGGGGAATATGTGATCATTAACTTATTAAGTATAAAACATAGTTGGATAAGGTGACCAACATGTGACCATCAAGTGTAAGAGAGGAGTTAGCAAACCAAATTATTGCGCGAGAGTTTCTTTCGCATTGGATAAAACATACCTTCACACTCTGGGACACCACAAAACTCCCACCTCCTCTCCGGATCCATGGTATAGCACCAGGGCTTCCCTTCCCTGTCCGGGTCTCTACAGTAGTTGTGTTCTCCAACTCCTGAGGTTTTTAAATATTAGTCTGTCTGGGTCCCTGCAGTAGTTGTGTTCTCCAACTCCTGGGGTTTTTAAATATTAGTCTCTCTGGGTCTCTAAAGTAGTTGTGTTCTCCAACTCCTGGGGTTTTTAAATATTAGTCTCTCTGGGTCTCTAAAGTAGTTGTGTTCTCCAACTCCTGGGGTTTTTAAATATTAGTCTGTCCGGGTCTCTGCAGTAGTTGTGTTCTCCAACTCCTGGGGTTTTTAAATATTAGTCTCTCTGGGTCTCTAAAGTAGTTGTGTTCTCCAACTCCTGGGGTTTTTAAATATTAGTCTCTCTGGGTCTCTAAAGTAGTTGTGTTCTCCAACTCCTGGGGTTTTTAAATATTAGTCTCTCTGGGTCTCTAAAGTAGTTGTGTTCTCCAACTCCTGGGGTTTTTAAATATTAGTCTGTCCGGTTCTCTGCAGTAGTTGTGTTCTCCAACTCCTGGGGTTTTTAAATATTAGTCTCTCTGGGTCTCTAAAGTAGTTGTGTTCTCCAACTCCTGGGGTTTTTAAATATTAGTCTCTCTGGGTCTCTAAAGTAGTTGTGTTCTCCAACTCCTGGGGTTTTTAAATATTAGTCTGTCCGGTTCTCTGCAGTAGTTGTGTTCTCCAACTCCTGGGGTTTTTAAATATTAGTCTCTCTGGGTCTCTAAAGTAGTTGTGTTCTCCAACTCCTGGGGTTTTTAAATATTAGTCTGTCCGGGTCTCTGCAGTAGTTGTGTTCTCCAACTCCTGGGGTTTTTAATTATTAGTCTCTCTGGGTCTCTACAGTAGTTGTGTTCTCCAACTCCTGGGGTTTTTAAATATTAGTCTGTCCGGGTCTCTGCAGTAGTTGTGTTCTCCAACTCCTGAGCTTTTAAAATATTAGTCTCTCTGGGTCTCTACAGTAGTTGTGTTCTCCAACTCCTGGGGTTTTTAAATATTAGTCTGTCCGGGTCTCTGCAGTAGTTGTGTTCTCCAACTCCTGAGGTTTTTAAATATTAGTCTGTCCGGGTATATTATACATTGTACATACCTCTCTCGGCATACTCTGATACATCAGGAGTAAAGTCGTGACCATGTGGTCTCTGTTGGTTCCACCTCATACACTCTCTCCCTGACTTTGTCTCTGACCGAGAGCCGTTGTAGAGAGCGAACCCGTTTGCTTTCTTGTAGCATGGAATATCTGCGAGAGTGCGAAACGTTAAAAATACAACGAAATTTTATCTGTATACTTTTATCAGCGACAGTTTAGAATAATCTTCATTGCCCAAGGTGAGTCTCAGTAAGGTATGATATTAGGTAGATCTTAAGTTAATTTTATGATCAGTAGGCATCTATTGCATGATATTTGGTGTCTCAAAAGAAAAATAGATATGAAAAAAAGGACAAGAAAGAAATGATAAGAACGGAAAGAGACATAGAAAAGAAAAGATTACGTAATACTAAGTAGTTGTCATGGTAACGAAGTACCACTAAGCTCACCAGGTTTACAGTAGTAGCTAATGTTCAAATATTTCTCCTCGGTGTCACATGAAGATTCGTAGTTGTCAACTGAGACAGATAAGTCACAGTAACTTTTACCATCACACTTCTCTTTTGTTGATTCTGTGGGATGTTTCATTGGTTCCTATTAATGCTTTTCATACAAAGTTACAACAAAGTATTCATGTTATGTATCCTGGGTTTGCACAGGATATTACCCGTTTAAAATATTTCCATCACGTTACATAGTACTCAATAAATGTAATAGATTCGTAGCGTTGTAATTAGTTGTAACTATGTTTATCTGTTCATCAATGGGAGTATCAAATCTTAGAAAAGGTAAAATAACGAATCTTTCAAGCACCCCATCTTCAACTTCTCCAATTCTCCATATCTTCTCCTAGAGAGAATATATTAGGACCCAAACCTGATGTTTGAACAGTAGAGTTACAGAAGCTGGTGTTGGAGTACTAACCTGATGTCTGAACAGTAGAGTTACAGAAGCTGGAGTTGGAGTACTAACCTGATGTCTGAACAGTAGAGTTACAGAAGCTGGAGTTGGAGTACTAACCTGATGTCTGAACAGTAGAGTTACAGAAGCTGGAGTTGGAGTACTAACCTGATGTTTGAACAGTAGAGTTACAGAAGCTGGAGTTGGAGTACTAACCTGATGTCTGAACAGTAGAGTTACAGAAGCTGGAGTTGGAGTACTAACCTGATGTCTGAACAGTAGAGTTACAGAAGCTGGAGTTGGAGTACTAACCTGATGTCTGAACAGTAGAGTTACAGAAGCTGGAGTTGGAGTACTAACCTGATGTCTGAACAGTAGAGTTACAGAAGCTGGAGTTGGAGTACTAACCTGATGTCTGAACTGTAGAGTTACAGAAGCTGGAGTTGGAGTACTCGAAGCAACCCTGGGTCCCAGTAGCGCCGTAGTTCGCTTCCAGCACTACTATCCGCTTATCACTGTCGCACTGTTGAGAAGATAAAACATTATTTGTGTTTACTTGTTGGGGACGGACTGACGGACGGGAGACTGACCCACTCACAATTATAGCGAAACATGATAAATATTATGTTACTTTTATAGTGTATTATAGTTACTCTTATAGCTATATAAACAAATCATATCTCAAGAACTTGTTGAGTCAACAAACTGCTCTCAAGTTGTTGATTTTTAGTTGCAATAGAATTGGTTGCAACCTGTTCATGCCATTTGTGATGAACACTGAACAGCGAGGTAACGTACGTGGTTAAGATATCTCATATCATAAGACCTTATTGTACGGTAGTGAGAGTTGGAACCTACCAAACCGGTTGAGTGATATAATAAGTGAACACTGAACAGCGACGTAACGAACGTGGTTAAGATATCTCATATCATAAGACCTTATTGTACGGTAGTGAGAGTTGGAACCTACCAAACCGGTTTGTGGCGAAACATAAAAGCAGTTGAGTGATAAATGAACACTGAACAGCGACATAACGTACTTGGTTAAGATATCTCATATCATGAGAGTTTATTTTACTTGGCAGCAGCCGGTGGTAGTGAGTGTTGAAAACTACTAAACCGGTTTGTGGCGAAACATAAAACCAGTTGAGTGATAAGTGTACTTTGTTTCATTTGAAGCCTGATGTTCACGGTGTTTATGGTAAAGATGGTAAACTGAAACCAGCTTATCTGGTTTGTGATATTTTCAAACACTTGCAAACATTTTATTTGCAAACAATCGATAAATTAAAATAAAAGGTGCAGTGAGTCCGATTACATTTTATTGGCAACCAAATCGTAATTTGTTGAGCAAAAAATGCCGTAGTGTACCCTTTATAAAGGAATAACAACTAAACAGCACGAGCGGTCAAACTCCTTCAGTTTAAACACTTTACGTTTTACTCTATTGGTATGACGTTAAGGGTGAACGTTTCACTCTATTGGTATGACGTTAAGGGTGAACGTTTCACTCTATTGGTATGACGTTAAGGGTGAACGTTTCACTCTATTGGTATGACGTTAAGGGTGAACGTTTCACTCTATTGGTATCACGTTAAGGGTGAACGTTTCACTCTATTGGTATGACGTTAAGGGTGAACGTTTCACTCTATTGGTATGACGTTAAGGGTGAACGTTTCACTCTATTGGTATGACGTTAAGGGTGAACGTTTCACTCTATTGGTATGACGTTAAGGGTGAACGTTTCACTCTATTGGTATGACGTTAAGGGTGAACGTTTCACTCTATTGGTATGACGTTAAGGGTGAACGTTTCACTCTATTGGTATGACGTTAATGGTGAACGTTTCACTCTATTGGTATGACGTTAAGGGTGAAAGTTTCACTCTATTGGTATGACGTGAAGGGTGAACGTTTCACTCTATTGGTATGACGTTAAGGGTGAACGTTTCACTCTATTGGTATCACGTTAAGGGTGAACGTTTCACTCTATTGGTATCACGTTAAGGGTGAACGTTTCACTCTATTGGTATCACGTTAAGGGTGAACGTTTCACTCTATTGGTATGACGTTAAGGGTGAACGTTCCACTCTATTGGTATGACGTTAAGGGTGAACGTTTCACTCTATTGGTATCACGTTAAGGGTGAACGTTTCACTCTATTGGTATCACGTTAAGGGTGAACGTTTCACTCTATTGGTATGACGTTAAGGGTGAACGTTTCACTCTATTGGTATCACGTTAAGGGTGAACGTTTCACTCTATTGGTATGACGTTAAGGGTGAACGTTTCACTCTATTGGTATCACGTTAAGGGTGAACGTTTCACTCTATTGGTATCACGTTAAGGGTAACAAGAGTGGGTAGAGAAAGTAGGTAATTACAAATTTGATATCACGTGAAAGAAGAGGCCAGTAACAACAATCGTGGAAAAGGAACTTAGGTGAATTATAGATAGCGTCATTTACCTCTACTCTACCGATAGTGTCTTGACAAATAACTGCTGATTTCATCACCGCGTCTTCCATCACCCAGTTATCGGAGTTAACTGTAAACGTTTAATTGTAAATTCACTTGGTCAACAATAACATCTGAGTCTTATAAAGTTTTAAATTCACATCTTTTTAAAACAATAGAGCTGCCAGGTCTTACCTAGTAGTCTACAAGAGGGCACATCACACTTACCTAGTAGTCTACAAGAGGGCACATCACACTTTTCCCATCTGGTATCCTCGTTATTAACATAACACCACAGGTAACCTGAATTGTCGGGATCTCTACAGAAGTTGTGGAATCCTAGCAACGCCTGGGATGTCATCATTGGTTACTAAGTAACTAGCACGCGATTGCTGAATATTTGAGTCACTATAAAAAAGCATGACTCACAACTAAACCTCATGTTGTTTGTTTTCTAAAACTTCTTCAACAAATACGATCAAGTTTGATAAATCAAGTTTTAATACTTTCGACACTAAAACACTAGAAGTCTAGAACATTATAAAACAAATAATTAGAGGCTTATAAATCAAGAGGCTTGCATATAATGAACATATTGACACGGGTGCAGAGTTGAGTCTGTACGGAACTGTAGATGACGCCTTGCAACATGTTTGACGACAGCCAGTAAATTGATAGTTTGATCTCAGTATATTTACAAGAAATTATCTGCTTGATTTAGTAAAAGGGAGATACATTTTAAAAATAAACTTCAAAGCCTGTTCTCAGCCAGTAAATTGTTCTCACGTCAGGAAAGTTTTCCGGAGTCCGGGTGTGGATATTGGGGAGCTGAGATGTCCAGAACTGACACTCGTTCCCGGACTTTGTAACGGCTAATTCTCCGTCATATAGAATAGTGTTGTTCGCTGTCATGTCGAAACACTCTGATAGGGGGGAGCTTAGTTAGTTTTAAGTAATTTGCTTTTCCTATCAAGAGGTTGAAAAAGTACGATTAAACATTTTTTGAAAACAAACTATACATTTTGAAAACAAACTATACATTATATTGTATACATTATATAATATATAAACTATACATTATATTTACCGTTATATGGTGACTCTCCGCCTGAAATGGATTATAATGAAATTATTGTTTTAAAATAAAATATCCGAGGATGTAAATTGTAAAACTCCTGATTAATAACATAATAGTCATGTTTACCAGGTGGATACACCATCGTGCATAGTAACTGTATAGTAACGTTTCATGAATTAATATCTCATGAGGTTAATAATCTCACAATAGATAGAAAAGAAAAGATAGAAGAGATAAAGATAGGAGATATATAGTAACTCACAAAAGGGACATTGGCCCCCCACCGCCCCCCCCACCCCCCCCCCCCCCCCCCCCGAAGATAGAAGAGATTAGATAAAGATAACTCACAGAAGGGGCAGCACTGGTCCTCAGAGTAGGTAACATTGTAACAGTGGGTAGGCAGTTCACAGTAGTATTGAGCACACAGTTCTCGCTTCTGACTGTCTGGTAACAACAGGGAGTTGAGTCAGCAGTCATTGTAAATACTAATTATTGTAAATACCTTAATTGTACAATTTGTCAATGCTTGTAAATATTAGATCATTTTAAACCGGTGGTAAATCATTTTAGGGGACCGTCTTTAATTAGTTAATTAGTTAATAAGTTAACATTAAAAAAATCCAAATCTACATTTATTTGACTGTGCTTATTCCAGAAGATAAACAACCATTATAAGCAGAAGTTTATAATTTTATCTAAAACTTCAAAGTTACCATTCACAAGCGCTTCAAGTTTAACATCAGCTGAAGGGTTTGATAACGTTGCTAAGGAATGTCGCTAAGGATCGTTACTAAGGAACGTTACTAAGGAACGTTACTAAGGAACGTTACTAAGGAACGTTACTAAGGAACGTTACTAAGGAACGTTGCTAAGAAACGTTACTAAGGAACGTTACTAAGGAACGTTGTAAATGTTAAACTCACTCTCTTCCAGACACTCGCACATAGTACAAGGGTTAGGGTTCCACTTATCTCCCACATTGTAATACTCCAGAGATTCATCATCTCTGCACTCTTCACTGCCTGATATTGAAGATGGTAGTGAATAGTGGTGGAGTAGCATTCTATAATTTCATCTCACTGATTAGGATATTATATCCTTGTGTTTGAACAGAGCTAAAATAGTAAGTACATAACAAGTTTAACTCACAGCTCGGGCAGCAGGTCCCCTCAGTGTAGGAAGGCTCACACCCTTCAGGTAGCGGGGCACAGTCCGTCACTGCACACATTTCTCTTTTAACTCCATCTGTAGAGTTTGTGGTATGAACATGACAATAGGTATCTTCAGTTATGTGTGTAAGCTGTGTAAGGCAATTGAGATTGAAGATGATTGTAGATAGTAAAATATAACGGCTAATAAGTATATGAAATGCTGACGTGTGTTTTCAGTTTTCAATAGTTTAATAAAGATTTAACTCAAAAGAGATAATTATTCAATTAGTTGACTGGTTAATTAGTTAATTGGTTAATTAGTTAAATAATTACTTAATTGCTCACCCATTTCCACGCAGGTGCAGCTCTCGCAAGCATTGGGTGTCCAGGTGTCATTAACACTGTACACATAACCGTTCCTCACGTCCATACACGGCTCAGCACCTGGTTGTGGGGGTTAATAATTAATTATTAATTAATTTAATAAATAATAATTTAAAGTCTTTAATGTCTTTAAGTGTCTAAAAATATAATAATTTCGTCGATTTAAATTTGCAACCACAGTCTTTAAGGAGGGGGGGGGGGGCATGAAAATTTGGTGAAACTTGATTCTGACATAGCATTTGACCAAAAAATCTACTGATATTGTAATTAATTAATCAACTATAATAATTAATTAAGTATTTAAATACTAATAATATTAATTAGTAATTGGTTAATTAGTTAATTACTTACAAACAGGACAGCACTGATCGGGAAGATAAGTTACTCCAGCAGGACACTCCATAATATCACACTCAATCGTGAAACAGTCCACAAGACCTGTGAGAGAAAGGACGTTTAAAGACAACTTAAGCAAATCAAAAATATCAGACCAGTCTTTCGATCCGGATTCATAAGAATAACGTTTTCTTCACAAGTTATGGGTAAATACGTTTTAAGTTCAACCAGGGTTTATTTTGAATAGCAGGCTAATAATCACAGGGGTCCTCTTTTGTTTAATTAGTTAATTATTTAGTTAATTAATTAGTTAATCACTCACGGTCAGAGAAGCACTCGCAGTAAGTACAGGGGTCCTCTTTTGTCCAGCGTTCTCCTAAATCGTACTTGTCCAGCGTCTCTAGATCCGTACACTCTACGAAGAGAAGAGTTAGGAACTGTCAAGAGAATGAGTGTTGAGGAAGGAGGTGGACTCACTGTTCCAGAAAGCTCTACGAAGAGAAGAGTTAGGAACTGTCAAGAGAATGAGTGTTGAGGAAGGAGGTGGACTCACTGTTCCAGAAAGCTCTACGAAGAGAAGAGTTAGGAACTGTCAAGAGAATGAGTGTTGAGGAAGGAGGTGGACTCACTGTTCCAGTAAGCTCTACGAAGAGAAGAGTTAGGAACTGTCAAGAGAATGAGTGTTGAGGAAGGAGGTGGACTCACTGTTCCAGTAAGCTCTACGAAGAGAAGAGTTAGGAACTATCAAGAGAACGTTGGTTGAGGAAGGAGGTGGACTCACTGTTTCAGTAAGCAGACCAAATCCCTAAAGGCTACTCGGTCTAATAGGGATTCGGTCCGCTAGCCAACCGTATCAGACTACATTTTATCCGCCCTAGAAAGCTAGTGAAGCTACAGCCATAGACGATAAGTTTCAGATTTCATTTGGACAGTTTTTAGAAACAGCAATTAGTATCCATAAACTTTTTGAAACCAACATGTTACTGAATACTGAATAGATGTTGGATATAATGCAAGTCTTCACTTAACCAAGGTTTTGAAATAGTTCCAGCTCCCATTTACCCCCATCTTGATTAGCTTACTTTTTACGTGGCCAGGTGTATTTTCTACAATGACACACTTATATTTGCTCTGTTTTATTGTCCTTGAAACCTTTGTTAGCCGTGTTATTAGTGAGCAGACTTGGGAAGACAAATCCGGTAAGAAAGTTTGATGAATATGTTTATATGTAACACCTGCTAAAACAGTTTATTTTTAATTGCGGTACACGCGCATTATTATACATAGTGAGACTTAAAAACTGATCTGTCGTAGGTTTAAGAAAACTGATATTTAGATTTAAGAGAACACCAAATGTCAGATGGTGGCAGCTCAGTCCAGTGGTGGAGGGATGACGGAAGGTGCGGGGTGAACTACAAGCTCTCTAACGGTAGACCCGCGGAATGCGACCCACTGCATCCCAGAGGACACACGTGCTGTAGTGAGAAAGGCTGGTGTGGGGGCACTGCCAACCATTGCAAGGTAATAGTCATGAGCTTCTTTTATTGGTGCTTTCATCTTGTTTTTAGTAGTTTGTTATCAGAGTACTTCAATGATTCACATTGTCCCCAGTGTGCAAGATGTGTGGACTACACAGCTAGATGGAGAAGAGATCTGAGATGTGGGGAGGAGTACTCTCTACCAAACGGTCACCCTGCACAATGCGACCCTTACCATCCTCAAGGTATTTTAGCCTGCTCACAATGCGACCCTAACCATCCTCAAGGTATTTTAGCCTGCTCACAATGAGACCCTTACCATCCTCAAGGTATTTTAGCCTGCTCACAATGCGACCCTTACCATCCTCAAGGTATTTTAGCCTACTCAAATGCGACCCTTACCATCCTCAAGGTATTTTAGCCAGCTCACAATGCGACCCTTACCATCCTCAAGGTATTTTATCCAGCTCACAATGCGACCCTTACCATCCTCAAGGTATTTTAGCCTGCTCACAATGCGACCCTTACCATCCTCAAGGTATTTTAGCCTGCTCACAATGCGACCCTTACCATCCTCAAGGTATTTTAGCCTGCTCACAATGCGACCCTTACCATCCTCAAGGTATTTTAGCCTGCTCACAATGCGACCCTTACCATCCTCAAGGTATTTTAGCCTGCTCACAATGCGACCCTTACCATCCTCAAGGTATTTTAGCCTACTCAAATGCGACCCTTACCATCCTCAAGGTATTTTAGCCAGCTCACAATGCGACCCTGGCCTTACCATCCTCAAGGTATTTTATACAGCTCACAATGCGACCCTTACCATCCTCAAGGTATTTTATCCAGCTCACAATGCGACCCTTACCATCCTCAAGGTATTTTAGCCTGCTCACAATGCGACCCTTACCATCCTCAAGGTATTTTAGCCTGCTCACAATGCGACCCTTACCATCCTCAAGGTATTTTAGCCTGCTCACAATGCGACCCTTACCATCCTCAAGGTATTTTAGCCTGCTCACAATGCGACCCTTACCATCCTCAATGTATTTTAGCCTGCTCACAATACGACCCTTGCCATCCTCAAGGTATTTTAGCCTGCTCACAATGCGACCCTTACCATCCTCAAGGTATTTTAGCCTGCTCACAGTGCGACCCTTGCCATCCTCAAGGTATTTTAGCCTGCTCACAATGCGACCCTTACCATCCTCAAGGTATTTTATACAGCTCACAATGCAAGTTGCGACCCTTACCATCCTCAAGGTATTTTATCCAGCTCACAATGCGACCCTTACCATCCTCAAGGTATTTTAGCCTGCTCACAATGCGACCCTTACCATCCTCAAGGTATTTTAGCCTGCTCACAATGCGACCCTTACCATCCTCAAGGTATTTTAGCCTGCTCACAATGCGACCCTTGCCATCCTCAAGGTATTTTAGCCTGCTCACAATGCGACCCTTACCATCCTCAAGGTATTTTAGCCTGCTCACAATGCGACCCTTGCCATCCTCAAGGTATTTTAGCCTGCTCACAATGCGACCCTTACCATCCTCAAGGTATTTTAGCCTGCTCACAATGCGACCCTTGCCATCCTCAAGGTATTTTAGCCTGCTCACAATGCGACCCTTACCATCCTCAAGGTATTTTAGCCTGCTCACAATGCGACCCTTGCCATCCTCAAGGTATTTTAGCCTGCTCACAATGCGACCCTTACCATCCTCAAGGTATTTTAGCCAGCTCACATTTTAGCTAGCTCATCTGCTTTTTTGTTTCCGCACAATGCGGTGTGCTGCTATCTATCAGATCTCTAGGGTGTTAGTGAGAGAATTAAGGGAGACATCATCCTCAAGAGCTCAAGGTAGCTCTTGCTACCTTGCCTAAATATTACCTTTACCTGCACTAAAAACCCGAAATCAGTAATTGTTGACTTCTGACTTCTAAATCAATGTTATTGCTCAGTGCTTGTAAATATTGGTCGTCATAAAACCCTTATCGTCACATGGATATTACACAAGATGATCCCTTATTCTCCTCTTCTACTCCTGCTCAGGGAAGTCGTGCTGCAGTGAGCTAGGTTGGTGTGGTAAGCTGGCTAAACACTGTGACTGTCCGGACTGCAAGGACTACAGAGCATTATGGAGGAAGGATCTACGGTGTGGTCCCGTATTCAAACTACCTAACGGTATGGCAGCTCAGTGTGATCCGAGCAGCAACAAGGTATCGTTTAGAGAAGGAGTGAGGAGTATTTGTGGAGTTTTATTATGCTACTCATGTTTTAGTTAGACACTTGATGCAGGCTTTCATTATTGCCTAAAAGTACATAACCGATATAGTTTAAACACTAATTTCTATCACATCTACAGTAAGATAGTAAAGATCTTGTAAATTTCAGAATTACTCGTGCTGCTCAAAGAAAGGGTGGTGTGGTGCCTCCCCTCAACACTGCAAGTGTAGAGGATGTGTAAAGTTTACTGGCAAGGGCCCAGTAGAGTTCAACCAGGGATCTAAGTCGTGGAGTAAAGCGAAATGGGGAAAAAGAACAAGGTCTACTGGCCTGTAAAAATAATTTCACTTATCGATTCGAGACTCTACACATTTTCATATTCCTTGTCACAGATATTCAATGTTTTAATGTCCATAATTGTGAACTCTTAATCAATTAATTAATTAATTGTTGTTAATCATTTGTACTCACTGTTTCGGTCGGGATCTGAAAAATAAAATTTTTTAAATAAAATACTTACATCATAGCTCCTGTTCAGAAATCTCGGCTAAAAACCACTACACTGTTCACAAAATTATCTGAATCAGTTTTAAACGCCAGATATCAGGATATTAATAAAAATCGGCACAAAATAAGAGTGTAAGGGGTCGTTCACAATTCTCATATTATTACGTAATAAGCCGAGGGAGGAGGGGGGTTTCCAAATGATTACGCTAGTTTACTTTGGGGTCGTTTACATATTACGTAATCAGCTGAATAACATACCATCACAGTCAGGAACGGAGCACCCCTCCCACCTAACACCAGGTTCCGTGGTGTAGCACCAGGGGTAGCCTGTACCGTCCGGGTCTCTGCAATAGTTGTGGTCCCCTAGACCTAGAGAATGGGGGTTTTATTAGTTGTGGTCCCCTAGACCTAGCAAATGGGGGTTTTATTAGTTGTGGTCACCTAGACCTAGCAAATGGGGTTTTATAAATTGTGGTCACCTAGACCTAGCAAATCAGGGATTTTATTAGTTGTGGTCCCCTAGACCTAGAAAATGGGGGTTTTATTAGTTGTGGTCCCCTAGACCTAGCAAATGGGGGTTTTATTAGTTGTGGTCCCCTAGACCTAGAAAATCAGGGGGTTTTATTAGTTGTGGTCCCCTAGACCTAGCAAATCAGGGGGTTTTATTAGTTGTGGTCCCCTAGACCTAGAAAATGGGGGTTTTCCTACAGGCAATTTATCTGAAGTATCATGAATATCCCTATCATAGCTTCATGAGCCGCTAAAAATAATTGCTACTTAAAATCCGATCGAAATTAGCAACGGAAATTTTCAAGAAATCTAAATTTAACCCATACCTATGATTTATTTAACCCGTATCTATGCTACGATTTCGGAGATTTTTGCACAATTCTGACAAGAATTACATGGTGAAGGAGTTGCGTGTGAGCATTTCCTTCTGGGCAACCCTATATACTATAGCCATATCATTGATTGACGATGTCAACCCTTCCAGATCGTTGCTCTGCGAATTAACAGAGCAACAATCTGCGATGCGAAGTAAGAATGATAGTTTGCGCGTCGAAGCGGCGAAGTCCTCCAACTATATCATTACGACAAGAATGTATCACCTGTATTAGGGAAGAGGTCGGGGGTTCTATCATGCTCGTTAGGTGTCTGCTCACTCCACTTCTGACAGGAGATACCTCTAGCTGTCTCCGCTACAGTTCCTCCATAGAGCACGTCAAATGTGTTAGTACCACTTTTCTGCTTTGTCTTGAAACAATCTGAGAGGGGGGGGGGGGGGTGTTAGTCATGTTATAACTTTATAACATGCTGTTTCGTTATATTTTCCATTAGTATTCTTCTTCTGATCATGGGGGGTGGCGGGGGGGGGGGGGGGGGGGGAGGTTGTAGCATTATGACGAACAAGCTTCACTAGTGAGACTAGCCTTATGGAAGAAGAAGGTCCCTCTAATTCTAGGTAGTTTTCTCTCTCACATGACAAGGTTGCCTTCATATCAATTAACCAACCAACCTGTACCTATCTGTTAATTATGAGTTACCACATAAGGCAATTTTACCATAATAACACTACCGTATAAGGCACTAATTAATAAACCAACCTGTAGGAATCTCCTCAGCCTGTAGAGCCGCCAGTTCCCTACAGTCGGATATGTTACATCTCTCTCTTTTCTTGCTGGGATCCGTGGTGAAGCACCAGGGGTAACCGTAGTTATCAGGATCTCTACAGTAGTTGTCTGATAAATCTGCAAAGAGGTTTATTATGAGGTTTTTTAAAACAGCTGCCATTTCATATGATATTCACCGATAACACCATGAAACAGCTATCATTGAATTATTATTGACAGTGAATTAAAATTAATTATTAGAACTTTATGTAGACCAAAAGTTGAGGCCTAATAAAGTGGCTGATGCGTTCCTTCTATTTCGGAAGAAGTGATCAGTGATGGTCGCACCTTTATTGGGGAAGTTTTCAGGAGATTTCTTGTGGCTATGTGGTTCCTGGCTGTCCCACCTCTGGCAAGTACGACCAGTCTTTGTTTCAGACACAGTTCCACTGTATCTTATCTTCCCTTTATCTGCGTCTATTATATCATAACAGTTCCTCGGTGATTCATCTTCTACTTCTGATGAAAAGAACGGTCGTTATTATTATTGAACCTCACTTAACCAATGTTAAATATTGTGTTATTACCAAAGAGGGCAGGTTGTGCTGGCCGCTGGCTAGGCTAGAGTAACATGATATGGAACATGATACAAAAAGTAATAAAACCCTACTGATTACAACTAACCTTGAGCAGAAGCCAGAACTAGAACCACGGATAAAACAACAAAAACCCTCAGAAACATCCTAAATCAGAATCAAGCAACAAAACAAATTCTCCTCTCAACAAACTGCACTCCGGACAACAACACCCCTGCACACTGCACAGCTCAAAGGTTGGACACTAAACAAACAACTTGCAAAGCTAGACGCAATTTCTCCACAGCAAAGGGCTAAGTAAACAGCGATAATGATTGTTTGTATTTTACGCCGGTCCTAGCTGTGTACAGTGCATTCAAGGAAAAGCTTTAATATTTCCCACCAGCACACCTCCGGTGAACATATAATGTGTGTTTACCGCGAGGTTAAAAGAGAGAGTTTATGTCTAATGCTCTAATGTGTGAACTGGTGCTAACGTATTTACTAAAACTGGGCGCAGACAGTTTGGGAAATTCCCTGTTAATGTCCGAATAGCTGGCATGTCAGTCGTCGCGAGGCTTTAGTATGTTTATTGCAGACTCATAGTCATAAGACTATGTGTAAAGCTGCAGAAAGAATTTCAGATTTCAAAATCAAACAAATAAAAACAGCAAGGTCTTTAGTTTAACATATCCAAATAATAAATTATAGATAACATACATATTCTCAAGAAAAGTTAGAAATAAACAAGATTTTGTGGACATCAAAACAAACCTCCCAAACTGAAAACAAGCTCCCAAATGAATCAGAATGTGCATGCCAATTTTAAATGTCGCATTTTGAGAACCCATACACTATAGGAGTAGATATAACACCATATTATGACATATTTGATATTTCCTCTCGGTATTTCTTAGTACAGTAAAACCCCGATTAACCGCGCCCCGATTTAATACCAGTACCACCAACCCTGATTTAGCGCGAATGTTTCCTCCCCCCCCCCAACTCTGTGGTAAATCGAGGTTTTACTGTATTTCCACAAACCTAATTAAGTCTTATTGTACTTCGATATGGAGACTGAGAGGTTTGTGTTTACGTATAAATATAACAATCAATCCGCCGTTGAAATCTTCCATCGTATGTTAAAACTAACACCTCCCAGTTTTCCCGTATGACATTCATTTTCCACCAAGGCTAGTACATGTTTTCCCGGGTTACTATTCATTTTCCATCAAAGCCAGTACATGTTTTCCCGGGTTACTATTCATTTTCCACCAAAGTTAGTACGTGTTTTCCTGGATGATTACTCATTTTCCACCAAAGCCAGTACGTGGTCAACTGAGGAGGATATGGCGGTAACTGCACGACCTTTAGGAAGGGCTTCTATTTTCTTGGGACGTTCTGTTGCAAAGTTCCTGATCCTTCTTGCCTCTAGGAGACCTGGGTGAGAATATGTGTTAGGTTCCTTCTTGCCTCTAGGAGACCTGGGTGAGAATATGTGTTAGGTTGGTTCCTGATCCTTCTTGCCTCCAGGAGACCTGGGTGAGAATATGTGTTAGGTTGGTTCCTGATCCTTCTTGCCTCCAGGAGACCTGGGTGAGAATATGTGTTAGGTTGGTTCCTGATCCTTCTTGCCTCTAGGAGACCTGGGTGAGAATATGTGTTAGGTTGGTTCCTGATCCTTCTTGCCTCTAGGAGACCTGGGTGAGAATATGTGTTAGGTTGGTTCCTGATCCTTCTTGCCTCTAGGAGACCTGGGTGAGAATATGTGTTAGGTTGGTTCCTGATCCTTCTTGCCTCTAGGAGACCTGGGTGAGAATATGTGTTAGGTTGGTTCCTGATCCTTCTTGCCTCCAGGAGACCTGGGTGAGAATATGTGTTAGGTTCCTGATCCTTCTTGCCTCCAGGAGACCTGGGTGAGAATATGTGTTAGGTTCCTGATCCTTCTTGCCTCTAGGAGACCTGGGTGAGAATATGTGTTAGGTTCCTTCTTGCCTCTAGGAGACCTGGGTGAGAATATGTGTTAGGTTCCTTCTTGCCTCTAGGAGACCTGGGTGAGAATATGTGTTAGGTTGGTCATCCTTCTTGCCTCTAGGAGACCTGGGTGAGAATATGTGTTAGGTTGGTCATCCTTCTTGCCTCTAGGAGACCTGGGTGAGAATATGTGTTAGGTTGGTCATCCTTCTTGCCTCTAGGAGACCTGGGTGAGAATATGTGTTAGGTTGGTTCCTGATCCTTCTTGCCTCTAGGAGACCTGGGTGAGAATATGTGTTAGGTTGGTTCCTGATCCTTCTTGCCTCTAGGAGACCTGGGTGAGAATATGTGTTAGGTTGGTCATCCTTCTTGCCTCTAGGAGACCTGGGTGAGAATATGTGTTAGGTTGGTCATCCTTCTTGCCTCTAGGAGACCTGGGTGAGAATATGTGTTAGGTTGGTCATCCTTCTTGCCTCTAGGAGACCTGGGTGAGAATATGTGTTAGGTTGGTCATCCTTCTTGCCTCTAGGAGACCTGGGTGAGAATATGTGTTAGGTTGCAAAGTTCCTGATCCTTCTTGCCTCTAGGAGACCTGGGTGAGAATATGTGTTAGGTTGCAAAGTTCCTGATCCTTCTTGCCTCTAGGAGACCTGGGTGAGAATATGTGTTAGGTTGCAAAGTTCCTGATCCTTCTTGCCTCTAGGAGACCTGGGTGAGAATATGTGTTAGGTCATGATCCTTGTAGCGAATGCAGGATTGCACAGCAACACGATAGTAATACGGTTACTATTGCACCCACACGGTTACTATACACCCACTCCCAGTTTATAATCTGAACTTGAGTAGTATATTCTGTACGTGTATCAGTTTGTGGCGTCACATGAAACCATGGTAACCGGCGTGTATACTTGGTGATTTAATACATTTTAAAGATAAGACTGCTTGGTGTAATAGGACGTTTCCTTTTTTTCTCACTTCTGATTTCACAGACAGTTCTAATTATATATTTTTTATTCCTGATTACTATAAAACTGCAGTTTGATAGTAATTATTTATTATACATACAAAAATTCATTAGCTATCACTTAATTGTTGGAAATTTGATTACAATTAATGTTATAATTTATTTGATTATTTGTTTTGTCAATGAATATCGATACTGTGTAGAGATTTAACCACAATATTTTAAGGCCTGAACAGAAGGTTATGAAGTCACGTGGCAGATGTTTACGATTGTCCTTTATACTCCTCTACCTAACCCTGTCCGCTACAAGTGAAGACACTGCTCTATTTTACTCAGCGCTAGCTTCACCTCAAGCTCGAGTCGGACAGTTACTACAATCTATTGGAGTCCCAGATGTCGGGAGCAACTCTAACTTTCACCCTCCACTCAGCCCAGGAAACTCCAGTGATTGCTTAAAAAAGCTGAACACTTTGGTGGACATAACAAAGATCACTGAAGAAAGTATTGGGTTCCTGGACGCAGCAGGTAAGCCAGGTCCAGGACTGACAGGAGGCAATCTTATCTGGGTCGGGAGCTACGAAATGTGTGATTCTCTGAGGAACTTAACCAAGAATAATTACCAGAGCTGTAAAGTAACAGGATCGTTATCAATTGGAGGGGTGCCTTTCCCGGAACCACTGACTTGGACTGGGTGTCTCCCAAACGAGTGTCTTGATGGAAAATTAGCTGGATCAGCTCTACCGTATCTCAGTGCATGGTTAAATAAAACAACCAAAGGGAAGGTGATTGCAGATCCTGCTAAGTGGATGGTAGCGTGTGAGGAGGATTTGGAGTTTGATGCCGGAGCTTATGCTGCCATTACATTCCTAGCAGTTGTAGGTTCTCTTGTGGTATTTGGAACACTCTGGCACCTTCTGCACTCAATCCTCTTGAGTGTTAGAGAGGATACCAGAATTATGGACGATGATGAAGACACGGATAACCTTGTTCAAGAACAGGAACCATCCGAGAAAGAACAGTCACAAATCCAATCTGAATCCATGATAAGTAAAGCCATAAAATGTTTCGCTCTTCAGCGAACGTTTAAAACCCTCACAGCCGTCGAAACAAAACCAGGACAAGTTCTCTGTCTCAACGGCATCAGAGTTCTCAGTATAAACTGGGTTATCCTCGGACATACTTTTGCGTTTTTGAGCGGTATGCTTGGAGACCCAGGAGATCTGGCGAAGCTACTGCAAAGTCGAGGCTTCACACTGATTGCTAATGCTTTCTCCTCTGTTGATTCATTTTTCACTTTGAGCGGGTTCCTAGTGAGCTTCCTTTTATTAAAACAGTTGACAAAGAAGGGTCTCCTCTCGATACCACAGTGGACTGCTTTTTACGTCCACAGGTACATCCGACTGACTACCCCGTACCTGGTGATGATATTGTTTGAGGGGTTTCTGTACAGACACCTGGTATCAGGACCCTTCTCAGTTGATATAGATGTTGGTACCAACCACGCTACTTGTAAGCAGTACTGGTGGACTAACCTGCTCTACATCAATAATCTAGTTCCCTGGAATCCAACAGGTCAAAACTGCCTGGGTCAAAGTTGGTACCTTGCCAATGACATGCAGTTCTTCATCATAGCCCCTGTATTCATCGTCCTCTTATTTGCTTATCCTCTGATCGGCAATCTCGTCACCACGGTAACTATCAGCTGCAGTGCTATTGCAGCGGCAGTTATTACCGCCCACTACAACCTCGCCCCCTCAATGTCACTCGGGAACCCTCTAAACTACACCAAGGTATACAGAGTACCCTGGACTAGGATAAGCCCCTACCTGGTGGGGATACTGGGAGGGTGGTTCTACTGGTGCTGGGGGGAGCAGGTCCAGGAGAAGGTTAAAACACTCCCAGTCTGGAAGAAGGTTGTTATAGCAACACCACTGTGGATAGCAACTGCTGCTGTGGAATATGAGGTGGTGTTCGGTCTCTACCACGATATACAGGACCACTTTATACACGGTAAAGCCACCTCCAAAACAGACAGCATCTCCTACCAAATGCTAGCGAGGATAGGATGGTCTCTGGCTCTGATCACGCAGGTACTCCTCTGTCAGTTTGGTCTAGGAGGGTTCATCAACTCACTCCTCAGCTGGAAAGGGTGGCTGGTACTCTCTAGACTCACCTACTCTGTCTACCTCATCCACTTTGGTCTGATCGTGATACTGGTGGACCAAACTAGACACACTTTCTTTGTGAAGCCTGACTTTGAGTTCGCGGTTATTTATCTAGGAATAGTGGTTATGTCGTATTTAGCTGCAGTAGTGCTGTATGTTTGTGTTGAGCAACCTGTTGCTCTTTTGGAGGGCATTACGTACAGGAAGTAGTGTTGCCATGGTAACAGTAGTGTTGCCATGGTAACAGTGCTGCACGACGTACGTTTGTGTTGGAAAACCTGTTGCCCTTTACGTACAGAAAAATGAAATTATATTTTATGAGATGGTATGTTTTGAAATGTGATTCGTATTGTGCTTTATGATTGTCTTCGGTAAATATATCATATCATCACTATTATTAGTTATAGATATTAATAATTGTTATTAATGTAATCTGTTATTTTTCAAATCATAATTTTCCTGATCATTTATTGAAGAGAGCTGTTTTCAGTAACTATTCGAAATATTAATTGTTAAACCTGTTTATTTGCCATTAAAACTAATTCGCCATTCAATTAATTTATTAACGAAAAATTTGAATGCGAAAAATTTGGACGGGAAGGCTGCACAAAGTTTTCGTCGCGCAAATTTTGGGAATGAGGGGTCGTTCACATATTACGTAATCAGCCAAGGGGGGAGGGGGGTTTCCAAATGATTTCGCTAGTGTAACTTTGACACAATAGCTATGTGTAATATTGATTACGGAGGGGGGAGGGGGTTAAAAATTGGCCAGAAAGTGATAACGTAATATGTGAACGACCCCTAAGGTTGTAAACCTGTCTGTCCTACATTGCCACTTCCCCACACGTACACACTGCCTGTAACAGTAACAGCGTGACACATAGTTGTTCCAGCTACAATGTCAGACACCTTCTCTTTGTTGAAATAGGACAAAGGTATCTGAAATAGAAGTAGTGTTAATTAAGGGGGGGGGGGGTGGGGGAGGGAGGGAGGAGGGAGAGGAGGGGGAGGAGGGAAGGGGGAGGAGGGAAAGGGGGAGGGGCTCACCAATATAAGTCATATAAATAATAAATTATAAGTTTCAATGGTAATTTAGATTGTGATATAATAGGTTTACAAATGTTTCTGAATATGCTGAGCAACCTAAGCAACCTTAAAAGACAATATGTTGATGCAAATACAAATAGCTAAATAGAAGGTATAATTTAAACAAGTCTAATCACAAAGTCATACTTAAGTTGGTTTAAAGGTATTTAATATAAACAAGTCTAATCACAAAGTCATACTTTAATTCGATTAAGGGTATTTATAATATAAACAAGTTTAATCATAAAGTCATACTTTAGTTGGTTTAAGGGTATTTTTGGATTCTCCCGTACCAAGTCTGCCTAGTGTTCCGTTTCCAACTGTGTACACAAACCCTGTATCTACCAGTATCGCAGTAAAACATCCTGCCGGTAAAGATCTTTTTGATTGCGCTGCCAATTGCCAATTCGTCAAATCAATTACTCGCTAGAAACAAATTTTGGGCAATCGATAAAATTACAAACATTAATTCACCATCGTGAAAATAGAATGCTATGTTAACTATAAACGCACTATAAGCACTATAAAAACTACTGGACAACTATTCAAGAAAAATTGAGTCAAAGCAGCTGAAATTTGGGTCGCGGAAAGGTGAAATTCGAATAGGTAGGACATCAAAATGTTCATTGCATCAAAGTTTTCTCCGGATATACTGCTTCCAGTACCTTGATGGCAACTTGTGTCACTCTCACCAACCTCAATGATTGGTCAATGGTCAAAATTTCAGTCAAAACCGCGAAATTTTGGTCAAGAGAAAAGCTCTGAAAAGCTCCAAAAATCTTCCAAAATCTCTTTTTATATTTTGATGAGTTTCCGTTTATCAAATATAATATAACTTTGAATACCTCAATTGTGTCTTGTGCCATATTCAGTGACCTTGTAAGACCTTGTCATTAAAGAAAAATTTGGTAAAAACCGTACAAGTACTATAACATGGTGAGCATGACGTATAAGTATAAATACTATAAGTATAAAATCACGAACCCTTCTCCCCTCGAGAGCAGCTAACTCTAACCACGTGATGAGAGCCCATCCCCTCCACAGGGGTTGGAACCAGCACGTTGTCTTTGTGACCGTGTCCCAGCTGTCCGTCCGTGTTCTTACCAAACGTTAAAACTTCCCCCTCTTGTGAGACCTGATCATGTTTTTAATGGTGAGTGTTTTGTGGGATACTTACCTGGGACCTCAGGCTTATTACTGTTCATAGACATATTGAAGATGCGGCGAAATGACAGTCTGAGCGCCATGCTCAGTAAGTGGAATACGAGTTAATACAATTCATTATTAATCGAGTTGCATATTTTGAGAAAAATGAAAATGAATATTGTTTCAAATATTCCGGTAAGGGGTCGTTCACATACGTAATCACTTTTTGGACAATTTTTAACCATAATCAGTTTTACACAGAGCTATTGTATCAAAATTATACTGGTAATCATTTGGAAACCCCCCTCCCCCTTGGCTGATTATGTAATATGTGAACGACCCCTAAAGTTAGAATCAATAAAGCTGAACGATTATTAAAATTCAAGAAAAGACTCACAGCAGCAGCATAAGAGTGACCAGCATCAATGTGAACAATGTCAGTAAAAGGGAGAGAAGTAACGAGAGATGGTATATTCCGGGGCTGCTCGTCCCCCTGCCCCAATACCCCATACTGACCCCGCCCCCACGAGTACAGTCTACCGTCCACTGTGCGGCACAATGTGAACCCCTCTCCACAGCACACCTGGTTAGGTGGGGTTATTAATACATTATGAAGTACAATTGAGATTGGCTTTTATCTCCTCTGAGTAACACAAGTTATTGCCGACGTTTCGCCCACATGGCTTCTTCAAATATTCGCTACTAATTCTATTAATACATTAGCTGGACACTTAATACAAGTTTGAAAAAGAGGTCAAACAATTAAAATTACTACTTTTAATGAAGTGGTAACCGTTACGATCTGATCAAACAAACAAATAGCAAAGAAAGTGAATTATTAATGTAGCTGGCATATCCAGCTTACCTGTTTTATTGACACTGTGTTGAGTCCAGTAACTTTCATAGGTTTTGGCACCAGAGCTATTCTCTTGGGACACACTTGTGTGTCTTTGTTGTTACCCCACAGGTAAATCTCCCCGTTACCATTCACTGCAGCTGCGTGGGACTGCCCTACCGCTGTGTGACAGAAACCACGTTTTAGTCAGCAACGTCAGAAGTAAAAGTGATCTATTATTTTCGTGTTTATGAGTCCATTTTAACATTTACAAGTTCTCTAAACCCCACTTTGAAAGTCGGATTTAGAGAACTTATAATTTTATTTATTTCAAACTTATGAAAAGTAAGTTTAATTAAAAGTCTGCTGATATTTACGGACCGTCTAAAATTGGTCAGAAAAAACTACAATGCAACTAAGGAAAGTAAGGATCGTACCAATTGCCTTTATGTTTGTGAGAGCCTCAATTCTGGAAAATTCCTTAATTCCATCATTTTGTTGGTTACACAGCACTCCTGATCGGTAAACCCTGACATGTTATATCCGTTAGAAGATAATAAAAGAGAAATAATGCAAAATGATAATATACGTGTACCAAATAACGCTTATATATTGAAAGTTGTATATTTATATTTTAAAACATTTGGGCACGAAGGGCAACACCCAATATGAGGCTACAATTCCTTGTAAAAACTGCATTAGAGTATGTAAACTTAAACATTCATCGTTTCAAGACCACAGTAATTGACACTGACAGTATAACGGCATGACCCTAAATTCTCACTCAAACTTACTAAGTCCCATTCACAGTCACCTTAAATCATCGCTGATAGCAATAGAATAGTTCTTCCCCGCAGCGATCCCAATGAAAGGTATCTGACTCTTGGAGGGGGTCGGGAGGTCCTCTACCTTGTTGGACTTAGTCCCCAGCTGTCCGCTTCCTCCCTGTCCCCACACCCAAAGTTCTCCTGACTTCAACATCTGCTTTATCCTGAAATATTACCATGACAACCATGGCAACTACTGAATACCATGAGTGATAAGATATTTGATTCATCCTGAAATTGAAAATCCCTATATCTCCATTAGCGACTCTTTCGTGGGTATTATTTCCACCTATTTTCATATTTGAAGGGTATGGCCAATAAAATGCGGGTGATTTTTTAGGAGACAAAGTGCGAGATCACACATACCAAATCAATATTGTTTTCCATGATTAAATTTATAAATGATGACCTTGACAATTTTCATCAGTATAGTTATTGCCAATAACAATACAAGCTAAGCTATGGTGGCTGGATAGTTTGAGAGAAAAAATGGAATCTTTGACATCACCAATTCATAGTTAAATATTTTGTTCAAGCAAATTTTATCTGATAGTGGGAAATTGTCTCTTTTCATTTTATTCGAGCAATACTTTATTTCTTTTACTTAGTTCTCCTAGTTTTAACTTAATTCACTTAGTTTGTTTAATACATCACCCGCTTTTGAGATCAAACCGCAGTTCTTTACTAATTGGAGTTTCATTCCCTCTAAACGCATCCCATGTACTAGTCATTAGGATCAGGACACACAGCCACACATTTCCTTGGGGCATTACCTGGTTACTATGGTAACGCAGCCTCGTTACTTCGTTAACAAAATGTTATCAAGCTTAAAACGTTTTGTTTTTCAAACTATCATTTTAAGTAGATGGCTGAAACCTGGAACGTTGTATTCGGTTACAGGGTCTACGACTCTACTGCCTCAAAAGTGCTAATAATAAACGTTCGTATGTATACATGGCAAAAGTATTTGGAATGATTAAATGACGTTCTAGCGAATTGCCCACTTCGAAAAGATATACTTTTAAGTAAATATGCAAAGCTGCGCAATTCTGCAAATACTCGATTATCATTTGAAATACACAATTGTATTTCACGCATGCCTATAATCGCTAATTTCCGATAGGTAGCCCAGCAATGCATGCAAACTCGCCGACGCACTGCAAATGTAAATAGCAATGCAGTGATAGTAACCGTTACCATAGTAACCGTTACCATAGTAAACCAATACAGTGAGCGGAGGATATAAAAATGTAGGCGGTCAAAATGGCTCTTCTGAGACAAGCAGTATGTCATAGCTATTACTATATATATACTAGTGATGAAATTAGCCTATTCTATCCAACATGTAATAGTCATTAATAATAGTGTTTGTTTGGTGCGATTAATTAATGAAGTCACAGACCCCATTCAACCACTGTAACCAGCAAGACACAATCACATAAAAAAGCACATAAACCATTTCAACAACGTTACCATGGTTACACGCACCTAAATTCTCCGAATCAATCACCTACCTGTGAAATTAGTAGAAGTAGCTCACTAAAAAGTTAATACAGTACAAGAAAGAGCCTGACTGTTAGTAAAGTGTAGCTACCTGAGCTGTTAGCGGTGGTGGAGGGTTGCTGTGGAGGCTGATAGCTCTCGGCGGGAGGCCGGCACCAATCTTTAAATTAAATGAGGAGAAGAGCGTCCTCAAGGTGTGCTTGTTAAGACGGCTAAGGAGCTTGTTAAGATGGTGATTGAGCTGATCCGTGTGGTGCAACGTTCACTTTTATGTGAATATGTAGCTGCTCTTAATGAAGATTGAATATTCATGTCTGATACGTGCTGTGAATACTTTGAATATTGTTGTGAAATAATGATGTACACAATTTATAAGTTGCATAATTGCATTTTCTTGTTTTAACCCATGAATTCCTCCAGAAGTATCGCACGGCTCTTCTGCGGTTCGGGACTATCTTTCAATCTTGCCAACAACCCGCTTTTCAAGGATGCGTGTCAAGCTCTACAGCGTGCACCTGCAGGATATAAACCACCTAATCGAGAGTGATTACGAAATGTTCTGCTGGAGGCGGAACACCACCATGTAGAACGGGGTGTTGCCGAGAAAGGAAAAGCAATGGATTAACTGGGCTGTACGTTGATTTCTGACGGCAGGAAGGATCACAACAAGAACCCGATTGTCAGCTTTATCGTCATATCGTGGCAGATAAAGACTGCACTGTATTCTTCGGTGCCATAAACAATCAAGGTTTGTTGCCTTTCCATCATGTCGCAATTTTCAATGTTTGAGTTAAAACTTACTATATATCATCAAAAGCCCATAAATTTCAGCTTATAAGTATATTAGAGTCACTATTTCGGTCGAAATTTCTCATCTGATAGCGAGCTAAAAAAGTTATACGAGGTAGATTATTTTAAACGTGAAATATATTTTTACGATGATATATTTACGATGATTCACATTTTCATCAGTCTTTTTTCAAGAGAGACAAAGGACCAGCATTACATATGTGACAGAATACATGATAAGATCGAGGAGTATGGTGAAGACAAGATAACTGTAGTGCTCACCGACTCCCCAAATGTTAACGAAGCTGCCCGAAATTTGCTAAAAGAAAAGTTTCCAGTCATTGTGTTTGGGCCGTGTGCGACTCATGTGCTTGATCTTTTCGTCGAAGATTTCGAGAATATTCCATTCTTTTCCAACCTATTCATAAAGTGCACGAGATCGTGCAATTTGTGAATAATCACGATTTTGTCCGGGGCCTCTTTAAATCCCATTCTGAACGTATGTTGCTGTAGCCCGGCGAAACTCGCATCGCCACTAATTTTATTTACAGCTGTAAAAGAAGCCCTCGAAGACTTAGTTGCAAACAGGGTACTGAAACATTGGATCGCAGGAAATGGCAAAAAACACGCACCAACTTATGCAGAGGTTAAGAAAAATATCGACTCTGCTCGATTCTGGGATGAATTAGATTACCGCAATTAGAATACCTCTCATTGAGGTGTTGCGTTTAACTGATGGAAAGAAGAGCTGCGCCATTATGTAACTGTATTATCTACTCTTTCAATTGCAAGAGAAGGGAAAGAAAAGAAGGGAAAGGGAGGAAAAGAAAAGAAGCCAAAGGGACCGTCTAAAGCGAAATCTCTAACGCCAGCGTTAACGCCTTATAGCGAGTGTACGGGTTGCATCGTAGAATAACAAGGCGACAGAGAAACCTATTCAAAGATAAAAGTAAGCTTCGAAAAGTTTGATTATTCTCCATGGTATGCATTTTTGTATATTATTAGTTTTAAGGTTATTTAAAGATTTATCACGAAATCGTGGCAAGCACAGTATGATTATAGAGTATCGATACATTCTGTCCTTCGGAAGAAATTGATTGAATTATCTTGTCAGTTGTACGTTTTCTGTAATGTTTAAGGTAGGAAGAGCAAAAATGTTACTTTGATAAGCATTCGGCCAGGTATCCTGCTTTCTTGTTATGCAGATAATAATTAATATGATAAAACACATTTTACAATTAGAAGCTCCTCAGGAGGCTCATTGTGAAATATTTCTCTTCTGACAAGATTATGGCCTTTCAACTTGGCCACCTCCCCCATTTCCGACATTCCAGCCTTCCGTCACCAAATTTCGCGAACTATCATCTTCTGTACGACCACTTCTACAGCAGGAAGGTTTTCAGGTCCTTCATAGACGGGTTGAAGGAATGGTTTGTGCTGCCGAGACGAGGTTGGAGGTGGACAATGCTTTCTCCTACAATCTGGACACCTTGAAGTGTCAGAGCCCTATATAAAGCAATGAGGGCTCTGACATTTTATAATAATGTAAAATTTTCTATCATTTGTTAGAATTACTGTTGTTTCTAACCATGTTCCTTTTTTTATGGCTATGTAATTTTATTTACGAAGATATCACCTACTTGATGCCATTTCATTGCTTATCCAATTTAAAAACTTAAGGACCATATTATATGGTTAAACCTTAACTTAATATATTATAACAAACTCAGGATAGGATTAATATAGATTTATAATAGTCACACCATCATAGAATTCATGTTTTATTTGTAGCAATTGTACGTTATTTTTACGAGGCGAACATTTTGCAAAAAACCAGAAATCTATAATTCTTTTACTTTCGGAGATAGTTCTAAGAAATCCTATTCATAGATTAAACAGTATAAAAGATCTGGATGAATAACATTTTTCACGTCAGCGACTATCATTTTGTTGTAATCATTTACAACTCATTCTTGGTTTCGAGCAACCGGGTGACTTGTTTAATCACTGTGTCATAGCAGCTTCCAAAAAATGGAAACAAATAAGATTTATCGTTCCATGGCTGAAATAACGAAATAAGTAATAATAAATAAGTAGTAATTAGTAATTATATAATTATAAGTACTTATTCACTATTCAGTAATACAAGATAGTAATTGTAACCAAGATATCATTTCAATTAATTATTTAGTTGGCAAAGGAAATAATTACCGTTTTCATAAAACTGAGGTAAGAGAAAGGAGAGGCCAGTTCTCGAGTTTTTAAGTCCCTATTTGATCAGCTCTTATATCTATTTTAATCAGATCAGTTGTATTCCTTGTTCTCTGCGCCTAAATTCGTTATACAAAAACAAATAGAAGCTACACTCTATTCCGGCTAGATTAATCTACTGTTAATCTAGTTCAAAAATATCCGTCAGAGCAAGTCGCCCTTTGTGACCGCTTCTTTCTACTCTACAACATCGGGTGATTCGGATGGTGAGGGCTACCCTCCAGCCACTGTAGTCACGACAGTCCGATGCGCGTATCTGCTAATCAAAGTCCCAAAATCTCAAGCATGTCCGCAACCGCAACGGTACTGCCGTCAACACCGCTATTGCCTCCCCAACCTATTTCACACTCCATTATGGACGACGCGACACCTGCTGCGAATGTGCAACAAATTAGCAAGAGTGATATTAGATTGCAACATTTTGATTACGACTGCTACAATCGATTGGATTCAATTTCAATAATAGATTTTAAAACAATTTCAGAAAAATTGTTACTTAATCACCTCAGAAAATCGATCATAGAGTCAAAAATATATTCCGAAAAAAAAAAGCCGATTGTATTCATAAAAGACGACCGGCATCAAAAACGGTAAAGGCGACCATCTCAAACCCATCTTGACCCGTAAATTCATTTCAGAGAAAGAACGATGAAAAAGGTTTTTGAGCTCAACCAGTTCAGGGGGAAACCTTTCCGGCCATCTACATCTACATGGCGTTCCCAACGGGCCATATCAGAGCTAAGGATAATTGACGATGCAAAATTTGAGATATGAAGCTGTTTTGTCCGGTTTTACTCTTTGTCCATTTTGGGATACAACATAACTGTAAGATAATATAAGAATTTAAAAGAAATGTTTGTTGACCTTAACCATGAGCCTATTATTAATTGTAATTGATGCAACTGTCGTTCTTCACTATTTGTATTTTCCTTATTTTAATGTATGTCTCTTTCCGTTCTTATCATTTCTTTTTCGTTTTCTTTCTTATATTTTTTCATCATTTCTTTTTCTTTGTATCCTTTTTTCATATCTATTTTTCTTTTGAGACACTAGTATATCGGTACAAGACATTGCTCAAATTATGAATTGGGGCACTCGTGATGCAAATCAACAATTTGAAATGTG